TGGCTTTTGCTATTTTTAAGATGGAAGTATTTGTAGTAACAATTTATGGATATATAACCCAGAGCAGTAAACCTTAATTAAGAGAAAAACTTTTTCTAAACAATAAAGTAAGCCATGCAGTTTTTTTTTTTTTTTTTTTTTTTTTTTTTTTTTTTTTTTTTTTTTTGAGACGGAGTCTCGCTCTGTCGCCCAGGCTGGAGTGCAGTGGCGCAATCTCGGCTCACTGCAAGCTCCGCCTCCCGGGTTCACGCCATTCTCCTACCTCAGCCTCCCGAGTAGCTGGGACTACAGGCGCCCGCCACTGCGCCCGGCTAATTTTTTCCTATTTTTTAGTAGAGACGGGGTTTCACCATGGTCTCGATCTCCTGACCTTGTGATCCGCCCGCCTCGGCCTCCCAAAGTGCTGGGATTACAGGCGTGAGCCACCGCGCCCGGCCGCCATGCAGTTTTTATGTTTCACAAAGCAACTATTCTGGGTTAGCCATGCAAGCGGGGTAATTATTTATAGCTTAATTACATATTCATTATGGAATATTTTATGTTAAGAATTGATGATTGGAAGGAGATATAGTCTTAATGTTGATCTGTGAACATGGACCAGTAAAATTTTAATAGTTTGAGTTACAATAAAGAGTTACAGTTTTCTTCCTCGACAAGTGAGGATTCATGTGCATTATATCAAAATGTTTGGTTATAATAGGCTATAAAGATTAAAAGTCATTTTTCTGTAAATCAAAAAATTAATGTCCACTGAATATGGATTAAGTATATTCCTTCTGTACATGCAGATTTTGATCACCAGATGGCACTTCTGTACGGAGAAAGTCTCATTTTGTTATTTCACCTAGATTATTTTATTTATTTATTTATTTTTTTGAGACGGAGTCTCGCTCTGTCTCCCTGGAGTGGAGTGGAGTGGCCGATCTCAGCTCACTGCAACCTCCGTCTCCTGGGTTCAAGCGATTCTTCTGCCTCAGCCTCCCAAGTAGCTGGGATTACAGATGCGTGCCACCATGCTCGGCTAATTTTTTGTATTTTTGGTAGAGACAGGGTTTCACCGTATTAGCCAGGATGGTCACGATCTCCTGACCTCATGATCCACCCGCCTCGGCCTCCCAAAGTGCTGGGATTATAGGCGTGAGCCACTGCTGCCAGCCCATTATTTTCATAAATGGGGTCACTGAAGAATAAACAGTGAGAAAAAGATCAGATAATCCAATCAACGGAACTGGAAATCTATGAGTAAACTACTGACTTCTTAAAAAGGTTTTATGGTAGGAACACCACTCAACCAGTTAACTTTTGATTAGATGCTTAATTCTGTTTTATTCTTTTCTTAAAATGTATTTATTTAACGAAATAGGTGGCTGGGCATGATGGCTCACGCCTGTAATCCTAGCACTTTGGAGGCTGAGGCTGGTGGATCACTTGAGGTCAGGAGTTCAAGACCAGCCTGGCCAACATGGTGAAACCCCATCTCTACTAAAAATACAAAAAAATTAGCTGGCTGCGGTGGCACACACCTATAGTCCCAGCTACTTTGGAGGCTGAGGCGGGAGAATCACTTGAACCTGGGAGGCAGAAGTTGCTGGGCCGAGATCGTGCCACTGCACTCCAGCCTGGGCAACAGGGCAAGACTCTGTCTTAAAAAACAAACAAACAAAAAAAAGATAGGGTCTTGCTGTGTTGCCTAGTCTGGACTTGAACTTTGGGTTCAGTGATCTTCCTGCCTCAGCCTCCTGAGTAGCTGGGACTACAGGTCCATGCGACCTTGCCCCGCTTGGATGCTTCACTGTAGATACTTAAGATGAAATTAGAGTATTAGTGCTGAAGGTGATTATTTTCATTTTTTAGATGGTGTCTCGCTCTTGTTGCCCAGGCTGGAGTGCAGTGATGCAATCTTGGCTTACTGTAACCTCCTCCTCCTGGCTTCAAGCGATTCTCCCATCTCAGCCTCCTAAGTAGTTGGGATTACAGAGGTACGCCACCATGCCTGGCTAGTTTTTGCATTTTTAGTACAGGTAGGGTTTCACCATGTTGGCCAGGCTGGTCTTAAACTCCTGTTATCAGGTGATCTGCCTGCCTCAGCTTCCCAAAGTGTTGGGATTACAGGCGTGAGCCACTGTGCCTGGCCTGAAGGTGATTTTAAAAATAATCAAATGGGACCGGGCACAGTGGCTCGTGTAATTACAGCACTTTGGGAGGTTGAGGCGGGTGGATCACCCGAGGTCCGGAGTTCGAAACCAGCCTCACCAACAAGTTGAGACCCCATCTCTACTAAAAATACAAAAATTAGCCAAGCGTGGTGGCAGGCATCTGTAGTCCCAGCTGCTCGAGAGGCTGAGACAGGAGAATCGTCTGAACCCAGGAGGTAGAGGTTGTAGTGAGCCAAGATTGCACCACTGCACTCCAGCCTGGGTGATGGAGTGAGCCTCCATCTCAAAAAAAAAAAAAAAAAAAAAAAAAATCAAATGGATTCTTTCTCAAATACAGATATGCCTTAGATTTGTTTAAATGCATCACAGTTTTAAAACAGTGTATTTGTATGCATTTATTCATTTCTGAGAGAATGCTCTAAAAATAAATGGAATCATGGCAAAACAATTAACCTTGTTCTCTATAATACAACCAAAATGATAAACCCAAACCAACAAAATTATAAAGATGTTAAACTGAAAAAGGATGCAAAATGTGTATTCATACTAACTGGAAAGACAGATTCAAATGCAGTAAAAAGTTTTAAACCAGTGTATTGAACCTGTGAGACGTTCTAGTTAATTGGTTGTTATTATAGTGTAAAAGGCAGTACTATAATATGTCTGTGGCCTTTATCTAGCAAGCTAGTTAATGAAGCTATTAAGAAAATAAGTTAATATTAGTGCGGCTAATACAGAAAAATGCTTGTCCTACCCTTTCTGGCTGAAATAGGTTTCAGGGACACAATTTTCTTTGGTACCTGAATTAGTATGATGAATTGTGGTTAGTCTTCTCTATTTTTTTTTTTTTTTTTTTTGAGGCGGAGTCTCGCTCTGTGGCCCAGGCTGGAGTGCAGTGGCCAGATCTCAGCTCACTGCAAGCTCCGCCTCCCGGATTTACGCCATTCTCCTGCCTCAGCCTCCCGAGTAGCTGGGACTACAGGCGCCCGCCACCTCGCCCGGCTAGTTTTTTGTATTTTTTAGTAGAGACGGGGTTTCACTGTGTTAGCCAGGATGGTCTCGATCTCCTGACCTCGTGATCCGCCCGTCTTGGCCTCCCAAAGTGCTGGGATTACAGGCTTGAGCCACCGCGCCCGGCCAGTCTTCTCTATTTTAATTTTATGATGCACAGATCCAAAATACGTAGAAATGTTATGTCATTTTATTAACCTGAAATGTATAAGATTTACAAATAGTGGAATATCTTTCCATATCATGGGAATGCTTGCTTTTGGGTGTCTAAAACTGACTGTTCTAGAAAACAGAATTCCATGTATTGTTAAAATCATCGGCTCTGTGCCAGCACGGTGGCACATGCCTGTAATCTCAGTACTTTGGGAGGCCGAGGCTGATGGATCACCTGAGGCTGCAAATTTGAGACCAGCCTGACCAACATGGCCAAACCCCATCTCTACTAAAAATAACAAAAATTAGCCGGGCATGGTGGCACGTGCCTCTGGTCCCAGCTACTCAGGAGGCTGAGACAGGAGAATTGCTTGAACCCAGAAGGCGGAACTTGCAGTGAGCTGAGATCGCCCTATTCATTGCACTCCAGCCTGGGTGATGGAGTGAGTCTCTGTCTCAAAAAAAAATCATTGGCTCTGCATTGTTATCATAGGAGATGATAGCTCCGTGTGTGTTATTGCACTTAAGACCTTCCAGTGGGACAGTTGTCGAGGTGGAAGACAGTGATATTGATGATCCTGACCCTGTGTAGGCCTAGACTAAAGTGTGTGTTTATCTGTTAGTGTTTTTTTTTTTTTTTTTTTTTTTGAAATGGAGTGTTCCTCTGTCACCCAAGCTGGAGTCCAGTGGGCTCACTGCAACCTCCGCCTCCCAGGTTCAAGCAATTCTTCTGCCTCAGCTTCCCGAGTAGCTGGGACTACAGGTGCCCACCACCATGCCTGGCTAATTCTTTTGTAGTTTTAGTAGAGACAGAGTTTCACCGTGTTAGCTGGGATAGTCTCGATCTCCTGATCTCATGATCTGCCAGAAGTGCTGGGATTACAGGCGTGAGCCACTGCATCCAGCCACACAGTTGTTTCTTTAAGATTTATTATTGGCTGGGCACGGTGGTGGTGGCTCAAGCCTGTAATCCCAGCACTTTGGGAGGCCGAGATGGGCAGATCACGAGGTCAGGAAATCGAGACTATCCTGGCTAACACGGTGAAACCCCATCTCTACTAAAAAATACAAAAAACTAGCCGGGCGAGGTGGCGGGCACCTGTAGTCCCAGCTACTCGGGAGGCTGAGGCAGGAGAATGGCGTAAACCCGGGAGGCAGAGCTTGCAGTGAGCTGCGATCTGGCCACTGCACTCCACCCTGGGGGACAGAGCAAGACTCCATCTCAAAAAAAAAAAAAAAAAGATTTATTATTTACGGGTGACTTTTGCTTTTAGGCATAGCTTGTTTCTTGACACATTTTAAATTGGGTAAATATTGGCAGGTAAAATCTTGGCTAAATGCAATGTCGTTTTGGGGTTCAAATACCAACTGCAAGTAGTAAGAGGCAGATAGCACTACATGTACAGTGACTACATATAGTGATAAAATGGTTGCTGGTTTAAATTGGTGGTACTTGAGATTTTTGTTTAGAATTGCTAAGCTCATAAACATGGACTTTTAGATTGCATTAGTCGAATTGGTTTAACAGATACCAGCAAAATGTACAATCCTCGGGCTGCTTCTTGAGAATTTGTATTCCAGAGAGCTTTTATCTTTTATTGTAAGTGTCCTTGTTTTCTCTGAAGTACCTGCTTGTCTTTTACTATGATTGTTTTGCTTACCATCCCTACTTTCTTGCAGATTTTCTATTTTGTACATACATTATTTTGTATATACTATATATGATGACTTCAGTGAGCAGTGACCATTGTCGAGGTGCTCGTGAAAAAACACAGATTTCAGCAGCACAATCAACGCAACCACAGAAACAGGTGGTACAGGTAAGTTTTTGTGGAACTCTTGTTTGCCTTGTTTAGAATTAAGGAAATTAAGGGAGAACATATGATTTAATGTTTTCTTTTGTAGGAAACTTTAGGATTTTGGACCCTGTATTTAAAAAGTGGGTAATGGCCGGGTGCAGTGGCTCACTCCTGTAATCTCAGCACTTTGGGAGGCCGAGATGGGTGGATCACTTGAGGTCAGGAGTTTGAGACCAGCCTGGCCAACATTGTGAAACCCCGCCTCTACTAAGAAAATACAAAAATTAGCTGGGCGTGGTAGTGTGCACCTGTAATTCTAGTTTCTTGGGAGGCTAAGACAGGAGAATTGCTTGAACCCAGGAAGCAGAGGTTGCAGTGAGCTGAGATCACGCCACTGCCCTCCAGCCTGGGCGACAAAGCAAGATTCCGTCCTAAAAATAAATAAATAAATAAATAATAAAAACTAAGTAATGAAGAATAGTAAGGAAAGAGGTATTGTACTTGATTCAGGTACAGTTGGATGGTGTTCCATGAGAACTCTTTAATGCTAACCTTTTCCAGGTACCTCTTAGCTATTAGGCTGCCACGGCCACCACTGCCTCCGCCGCCGCCGCCGCCACCGCCTCCTCCTCCTCCTCCTCCTCCTCCTCCTCCTCCTCCTTCTCCTCCTCCTTCTCCTCCTCCTCTCCCCTTTCACCTTCCTCTGCTTCCCTTCCTCCTCCTTCCTTGCTGTTTCATCATCATCTCTTCTCCCTTTTCTCCCTTCTCTTAATTTAAGTGTGTCCTTGGAATGAAATATGAAAATCCAAGGTACATGGAGAACTAATAGTCTGAAGTGGTAAAATACCTGAATTACAATAGACTTTAAAAAGCTGCCTTTGCTGGGCATAGTGGCTCGTGTCTGTAATCTCAACACTTTGGGAGGCTGAGGCAAAAGGATTGCTTGAGCATAGGAATTAAGAGCAGCCTGGGCAGCATAGTGAGGACTTTGTCTCTACAAAAAGTTTAAAAATTAGCTGGGCATGATGGCTTCCATTTGTAGTCGCAGGTACTTGGGTGGCTGAGGTGGGAGGATCACTTATGATGGTGCTACTGCGCTCCAGCCTAGGTGACAGAGTGAGACCTTGGCTCAACAAAAAAACAAAAATCTGCCTTTTCTTTAAAGCACAAGGAAGAATGCTTGGATCTCAGAATGGCTTTTAATGATCAAGATCCATTTGAGGCCGGGCACAGTAGCTCATGCCTGTAATTCCAGTACTTTGGGAGGCTGAGGTGGACAGATCACCTGAGATCAGGAGTTCAAGACCAGACTGACCAACATGGTGAAACCCTGCCTCTACTAAAAAAAAAAAACAAACAAAAAAAAACAAAAATTAGCCAGGCATGGTAGTAGGTGCCTGTAATGCTAGCTACTTGAGAGGCTGAGGCAGGGAGAATTGCTTGAATCCGGGAGGTGAAGGTTGCAGTGAGCTAAGATCACGCCACTGCATTCCAGCCTGGGCGACAGAGCGAGACTCTGTCTCAAAAAAACAAAGATACATTTGAATAAAATTTTTAACGTTAAATACTCGCCCCTTCTCAATTTGGTTATATTATTATTTTAAGTGAAGTGAGATAAGTGCTAAGCACAGTACCTGGTGCAAAATTAAGCATTATATACATGTTATTGACTAGAATGGCAAACCGTTTTTCACAGGCAATATACAAGTGAGTAAACTATATCCAGTTTATCTTACTTGCAGATTGATTTGACTATACTTTGATAGTTAATTATAAGTGCTTATTATAATCACTTGTTTATACCCAAGTACCCTGTTGATGTTAAGGGACATAATGAGGAGATTTATGTCCTCATAAGGGACATGATGAGTTATATTTTTCAGTATAAAGTTAGTGTAGTATATTGCTGGTTTAACGGACAGATATCTCTTCTACTCAGTGCTTGATCCTAAATACACTTACACTGATAGGAATTTATTCAAAAAACTGATCCAGTCCAGTGATGGAAAAATTTGGAATTTTTAGACGAGGTCCTCCTTTTATAGTTGAATTTACTTAGGAAAAACTTTGCGGGCCGGGCGCGGTGGCTCAAGCCTGTAATCCCAGCACTTTGGGAGGCCAAGACGGGCGGATCACGAGGTCAGGAGATCGAGACCATCCTGGCTAACACGGTGAAACCCCGTCTCTACTAAAAATACAAGAAAATTAGCCGGGTGTGGTGGCAGGTGCCTGTAGTCCCAGCTACTCGGGAGGCTGAGGCAGGAGAATGGCGTAAACCCGGGAGGCGGAGCTTGCAGTGAGCTGAGATCTGGCCACTGCACTCCAGCCTGGGGCACAGAGCAAGACTCCGTCTCAAAAAAAAAAAAAAAAAAAAAAAGAAAACCTTTGCTTAATGAATGGGTCTTTTTTTTTTTTTGAGATGGAATCTGTCACTGGACTGGAGTGCAGTGGCCGATCTCAGCTCACTCCAACCTCCACTTCCCGGGTTCAAGTGATTCTCTTGCTTCAGCCTCCCAGGTAGCTGGGACTACAGGCAGGCAACATCATGCCTACCTAATTTTTTTTTTTTTTGTTTTTTTGAGATGGAGTCCCCTTCTGTCGCCCAGACTGGAGCATAGTGGTGCCATCTTGGCTCACTGCAACCTCCGCCTCCTGGGTTCAAGCGATTCTCCTGCCTCAGCCTCCCAAGTAGCTGGGATTACATGCGCCTGCCACCACCCCCAGTTAATTTTTGTAGTTTTAGTAGAGACAGGGTTTTACCATGTTGCCCAACCTGGTCTCCAACACCTGAACACAAGTGAATGCCCTCTTAGCCTTCAAAGGTGCTGTGATTATAGGCGTCAGTCACCGTGCCTGACTTTTTTATTTACAGAGTCTTGCTCTGTAGCCCAGTCAAGAGTACAGTGACTCGATCTTGGCTCATTGCAACCTCCGCCTCTGGGGTTCAAACAATTTTCCTGTTTTAGCCTCCCCAGTAGCTGGGATTACAGGCGTGAGCCACCATACCTGACTAACTTTTTTTGCATTTTTAGTAGAGATGAGGTTTCACCATGTTGGCCAGGCTGGTCTGGAACTCCTGACCTCAAGTGATCTGTCCCCCTTGGCCTCCCAAGGTGTTGGGATTACAGGCGTGAGCCACTGCACCTGACCCTTTTAAATTTTTTTCTTTTAGGCCGGGCGCGGTGGCTCACGCCTGTAATCCCAGCACTTTGGGAGGCCGAGGCGGGCGGATCACAAGGTTAGGAGATCGAGACCATGGTGAAACCCCGTCTCTACTAAAAATAGAAAAAATTAGCCGGGCGCAGTGGCGGGCGCCTGTAGTCCCAGCTCCTCGGGAGGCTGAGGCAGGAGAATGGCGTGAACCCGGGAGGCGGAGCTTGCAGTGAGCCGAGATTGCGCCACTGCACTCCAGCCTGGGCGACAGAGCGAGACTCCGTCTCAAAAAAAAAAAAAAAAAAAATTTTTTTCTTTTAAACAGTAGTATGCATTAGGAAAATTATTCATGTTTATTTTTCATTAATCCTATTCTGGGAAGTATTTGCTAAGAAAGTAATCTTAAATTGGAGTAATAAAAAGTGGCTTTATTTGGTAATGTTTTTTTCTTTCTTTCTTTTTTTTTTTTTTTGAGATGGAGCCTTGCTCTGTCGCCCAGGCTGGAGTACAGTGGCGCGTTCTCAGCTCATTGCAACCTCTGCCTTCTGGGTCCAAGTGATTCTCCTGCCTCAGCCTCTGGAGTAGCTGGGATTACAGGCACATATCACCATGCCTGGCTAATTTTTGTATTTTTAGTAGAGATGGGGTTTCGCTATGTTGGCCAGGCTGGTTTCAAACTTCTGACCTCAGGTGATCCTCCCACCCTGGCCTCCCAAAGTGCTGGGATTACAGGCGTGAGTTACCACGCCCTGCCAGTAAGATGTTAATTACTCAATTTAAAATGTCCAATGTTAGAGGTGTTCTGAGATTACCTATTCACGTTGCATGATGAAAGAGAGTTCTTTTTTTTTTTTTTTTTTTTTTTTTTTTGATATGGAGTTTTGCTCTTGTTGTCAAGGCTGGAGTGCAATGGTGTGATCTCGGCTCACTGCAACCTCTGCCTCCACCTCGCCTGGTTAATTTTTTGTATGTTTCACCATATTGGTCAGGCTGGTCTTGAACTCCTGACCTCAGGTGATCCACCCGACTCTGCCTCCCAAAGTTCTGGGATTACAGGCATGAGCCACTGCGTGAGAGTTCTTTTGAATCTGTATAAACCAGGATTTTTGTCCTGGGTCTAGCACTTACTTACTAACTAGATGAGTTACTTAAATCTCCTTTAACCTCAATTTTTTTTTTTTTTTTTTTTGACGCGGAGTCTCACTCTGTTGCCCAGGCTGCAGTTCAGTGGCTTGATCTTGGCTCACTGCAACCTGCGCCTCCTGGGTTCAAGTGATTCTCCTGTCTCAGCCTCCAGAGTAGCTGGGACTACAGGTGTGCACCACCACACCTGGCTAATTTTTGTATTTTTAGTGGAGTGGGGTTTCACCATGTTAGCCAGGTTAGTCAGTCTTGAATTCCTGACTTCAAGTGATCCGCCCACCTCAACTTCCCAAACTGCCAAGGTTACAGGTGTGAGCCACTGGGCCTGACTACGAACCTCAATTACAAAAAAAAAAAAAAAAAAATTGTGAGACTTACAGAAAAGTTGCAATGGGAGTATGAATAATTACTGAATACCCTTCTTCCAGATTCCCTAGATGTTAACATTTCTATCACATCTCATTTATCCTGTTCTCTTTCTTTCCATACAGTTTATCCCCAGAAACGTTTGACAAGTAGTTGTGAATAAGGTTTTTCTTCACTTAATACCTCAGTGTGTTTTTTAAAAAACAAGGATCTTTTTATATAATTATAGTACAGTGATAAAAAATCAAAATCTACAGATCATACTTACATTTTTTCAATGGTCCTTATAATGCCTTTTTTTTTTTTGAGACACAGTTTCACTTTGTTGTCCAGGCTGTAGTGCAGTGGTACGATCTCAA